ATATAATATATTGGGTTATCGATGATAACTGTTATTTTATAAATGTATTTTTTTAGTATTTGATGATTAAATTGTCATTTAAGAGTGTTAATTGTTTCCTAAAATAGAAAATGAGAACCTTTTAATGGGATATCCAAAAAAGGAAAGTGGAAACCTTTGAATGGGACGGAGTGAGTAGTAATTATATATTTTTAAGCGTGGGCCTGGAGGCCAGATCCGCCCCTGCATGACTTTGAGTACCAATTACAGAAAGATCCGCCCCTGGATGACAAAAAGACAGCTATAAACGTTATGTTTGGTTTTTGCAGGAAAGTATTTGTTGGGTTCTTTCTTTGTTTTTGACCAATGAGGAAAACCCAACTATTGAGCCCATTAAAGTCTTATTTGGACTTTCTATTTTGGGAACTTCTAATTAAAAAAAAAGGTCTGCCATCTATCTAAAATACAAGGACCAAAAGAGAGCAAAGGATTGAGAGAGCACAAGTCACAAAAACATGAGCTGAAGCTCATCCCGTTTTTCAGCAAGCAGCAGCAGAAAAGTTCCGTTTCCCAGAGATTGAACCGTTGGATCGTCGTGATTTTTGGACAGCAGCTACACAACATCTGTGCCAACATTCTGGACGGTGTAGATAGGGTTTTGAAATCTGGAGGTCGGGCTTCGTTGGTCTGAACAATAGCTATTTTTCTGGTGATATTTTTCTTATCTTGGCTCTACTTTGATTCCATACACCTTGATGTGCTTAGTTCCAAGGATATGATGATTTTGTATGCCTCTAGTATTATCTAGAGAAGACTTTGTATTGCTCCTTTGATGATGATAGTTGATTTAAGCGGCCAAAATGGTCCCGTGGTTTTTCCTAGTTAATGGATTTTCCACGCTAAAACTCTGATGTCTTTGTGTTGTGTGTGCTTACTATTTTAGCTCAATATGTTGGTGCATAGCAGTGGTATTGTGTGTGTTCTAATTGGATTAAGAACACCCTATTTGTTTGCATCCTCAAAGGTTCATTCAAGTTGGAAAAGTTTAGCCAAACAGAAATTAATTCCGCATTTTATTAGTTACGATTTGTGGCTGTTTTTCCCATCAAATTGGTATCAGAGCCAGGTTCTTCTGTATTGGGTTCGACTTGTTTGAATGATGGAAGCTAACACAAGTAGGATGATCAATTTGAATGGTTCTAATTATCATGTTTGCAAAGGCAAGATGGAAGACCTTCTTTATGTGAAGGATTATTATTTGCCTGTGTTTATTACTGATAAACCTGAGAGTAAAACAGTTGCAGAGTGGAATATTTTGCATAGACAGGTTTGTGGGTATATTCGCCAATGGGTTGATGATAATGTTTTGAATCATATTAGCGGGGAGACTCATGCTCGCACTCTGTGGAACAAGCTTGAACAGTTGTATGCTAGAAAGATCAGGAACAATAAATTGTTCTTAATAAAACAGATGATGAGCTTGAAATACCATGATCGAACTCCTGTCACTCATAATTTGAATTCTTTTCAGGAATTAAAAATCAACTTGCAGGAATGGGTATCAAATTTGAAGATGAGATACAAGGCTTGTGGCTCCTTGGCACTTTACCGGAGTCATGGGAGACTTTTAGGACATCATTGTCCAACTCTGCACCAGATGATATTATCACCATGGAATTAGCTAAAGGCAGTATTTTAAATGAAGAGATGAGAAGAAAGTCACAAGGTTTCTCTTCACATTCTGAAGTCTTAATTACAGAAGGCAGGAGAAGAAGTCAGAGTAGAGGTCCATGTAACAAAGGGAAGCATCGAAGTAAATCCAAAGGAAAGTTTGCTGATTTTGAGTGCTATCATTGTGGTAGAAAAGGGCACGCAATTGAAAAAGGAGAAGAAGAAGAGCGATTACAGGAATCAAAAGAACCATAAGAAAGATGAGGGTGGTAATGGCAATGATGAAGTTAACACCACTACCAAAGACTTTCTTATTTGTTGTGATCTTGATATGATCAGCATTGCACACGATGATTCGAGCTGGGTTGTTGACAGTGGTGCTACGTGCCATGTAACATCACAGATGAATTTTATTCATCTTACACTCCAGGTAACTTTGGTAATGTTAGGATGGGTAATAATGGACTATCAAAGATTGCAAGCATCGGAGATATTTGTTTGAAGTTTGACACTGGGATAAAGCTGGTTTTACATAATGTAAAACATGTTCCAGATATGAGACTTAATTTGATCTCTGCGGGCTTACCTAATGATGATGGTTACAGTAACAGCTTTGGTAATGGAATATGGAAACTCACTCGTGGTTCTTTGATCGTGGCTAGAGGTCTAAGATGCTCAAAGTTGTACATGACACATCCCAAGATCTTCAAGGATAGGGTCAATGTTGTGGTGAATACTGACATGACTGATTTATGGCATAAGAGACTTGATCACATGAGTGAAAAGGGGATGTCTCTTTTGTTGAAGAGAAATGTGTTACCGGGTGTGCATGATATTCATCTAAAGAAGTGTTCTCACTGTTTGGCAGGTAAACAGAACAGGGGTTCCTTTAAGAGCCATCCACCTTCCAGGAAGGAAAATATACGTGATCTTGTGCATTCTGATGTTTGTGGTCCTATGAAGACTAGGACACTTGGTGGTTGCTCCTACTTTGTCACATTCATTGATGATCACTCCAGAAAGGTATGGGTTTATACTTTGAAATCTAAAGATCAAGTATTTGAAGTGTTTAAGCAGTTTCATGCCTCTGTTGAGAGACAAACTGGAAAGAAGCTCAAGTGTATTCGGACAGATAATGGAGGTGAATACATTGGCCCATTTGATGCTTATTGTAGAGATCATGGTATTCGACATCAAAAGAGTCCTCCCAAGACACCACAGTTGAATGGATTAGCAGATCAGCTGAACAAAACTTTGATGGAGCGTGTTAGATATTTGTTGTCACATGCAGGGCTGCCAAGTTCATTCTGGGGAGAAGCTTTGAATACAGCGGTACATGTTATTAATCTAACTCCTTGTGTTCCTTTGTCTTTTGATGTACATGACAGAGTTTGGAGCGACAAAGATGTTTCTTAACGTCACTTAAGGGTCTTTGGATGCAAAGCTTTTGTGCACATTCCTAAAGATGAAAGAGTAAAGCTTGATGTGAAGTCCAAACCATGTGTTTTCTTGGGTTATGGACAAGATGAGTTTGTTACAGATTATATGATCCAGTGCACAAGAAACTTATTCGAAGCCGAGATGTTGTGTTTGTTGAAGATCAGACCCTAAAAGATGTTGAGAAGAAAGAGACAATTCCTCAACATAATGATGATGTTACTCATTTCGATCCCGTGTAATGTTGGACTCGGGTCGGGCCACCCGGCCCGTGGACCGGCCCGGCCCGCTACTTTGCGGGACCGGGACTGGCTCGGTTCTCGGGTTCGGGTCCGGGTCCGGGTCGAGCCTAGGCCCGGGGGGTAGGGCGGGTCCGGGCTCGGGTCTCACATTTAGCGACCCGGCCCGACCGGGTCGGGCCCGAGCCAAATTGATTTTTTTTTCTTTTTTGGGGTTCCACCCGGGTTGGGCTTGATGGTTAGGATGGGTTTGGGGGAGGGGGGGTTTGGGAGGGTGGGGAGTGAGGGGGGGGGGGGGGGGGTAGGAAAGCACAAAAAAAACCACCGGAGGCCCGGCCCGGACCCGGTGGCTACCCAGGCCGGTCTCGGGTCCACCATTCCTGAACCACCGGCCCGCCCGGGCCTAGGCCTGACCCGGACCCGAGTCCACCCCTAATCCCGTGCCTCCTCAACATGTAGAACCACTTTTTGATGATGATATTCAAAATGATGAACAACATGATACTGATGATATTGATGCTCCAGAATAACCAGAGGTGGATAAAGAATTTCATCAGAGATACCGGTACCAGACGTGCCATCATTTGTCACACTTAGGCGGTCTACAAGAGATCGTCATCCTTCCACTCGTTTTCAGCTAATGAGTATGTCTTACTCACTAATGGGGGAGAGCCCGAGTGTTATGCTGAGGGAGAGCCTGAGTGCTCAGCATACTTTCATCGGACCATGACTACTATTCACTAATCGGCATTAACTGTTATTATACCATAACTACTGAAACACTATATATTAATTTATACATGTTAAATACTACGGAGTAGTAATTATATTTTTTTGAGCGTGAGCCTAGGCCCTCCCTGGCCTAGATCCGCCCCTGCATGACTTTGAGTATCAATTACTAATATTGAGTCGTGCTTTCGAAAATCGTGGCATGCATCCAAAATTTCAGAGAGGTATAATTAAAGCACATTACATGAACAAATAATTTCTGCACATACACTTTGTTAGGCATGTGCAATTGCTTTTATCTGTGCACATAGAGATATGTAAATAAGGAAAAGTATAATTAGCTTTTGATGGAAAATTTATGTTGTATTGCATTTAATAATCCATGAGATCGATGTTGGTGATTGAACATAAGAAGAAAGTAAAAAAATGAGATTTTTAAGTAATGTAACTTAACTAACCGAAGCTGGAGTTATCAATATTGTACAACTTTATGAAGGAAAATTGCACGTAAGAGTTCTTACTTCACTAAGAACGGACTATGGAAGAAAGTCATTGTCATGCAGCATGTTTGCAACTTTCCATCAAACTTGCTTTCTAACATCAACCAATCCCTTGAGGAATTTTCATCTTATTATTCCTTCCTAAAGACAGTTATGACAAAAAGACAGCTATAAACGTACTATGTTTGCTTTTTGCAGGAAAGCATAGTGTTAACTAACTTTATACAATATAAGTTCAAGGACACCAGCTCCAACTGCTTTGAGTTAAGGTTCAAATAATGATGGTGGGCCTAAACTTCTGAAAGTGTTAACTAAAACGAAAAGATCAAAGCAAAAAAACACGTCAAACTACATATCATTATCGACAGCTTTAAGAGGAGAGACAGAAATAAAACCACATCACGAAGAAAACAAAAGAAATAAGAAACAATACCAAATTCATGCAAGGAGACTTCATTTCACTATCAAATGCAGTGGATTGCAACCATGTACAACGAGATCACAGAGAAGCGGGGGAGGAACAATCCAAAGCAAGTTATCTTACAGGGAGGGGGGTCAGATCCTATTTTCTTTTATACGAACTGGCAGAAAGAGAATGTTACCCTCCGTTAGTATGGTTTGATCTGAACTTCTTTTACACACCTCTAATATGAGTAATTGCCAAGGACTCCGTGGAACATTCTTTGCGACGAGATCTCCAGAAAAAACTCAAATCCCATCTTTAGACCAAATAATAACGGACAATATAGCACCAGAAGTTCATTAGGGCAGCAGTTCCTCATCCTCTTGCAATTGCTTGAGCCGCCTTTTTGCATAAACAGTTATTAATACAGTGGTGGCCACCGTAAGACAAAACCCGAAGACATTGAAAATGATTTGCGTAGCTGACAGGGAACGTTCGTCATGTGAAGCATTCGCCAATGTCTTTATCAGGATGCCACTGGGAAAGAAAACAAAGATGGTGAAGGAATGAAGGATATCTTGTTAGTTTCAAATTCCAACTCCCCGTCCCAAATACTCTGTTGTTTAGCCAATTATTCTCTCAAAATAATTGTCATTTTACGATGTCAATGCATACTTTACTAATTTTAGCCATACTTTGAACCATGAAAAGAAAAATACTTCATCTACAATATTTAAAATTAAATACAGGTGGAATGATCATTTTGTGAGGTTCCTTAAGATGTGAGCACTTCACTAAAACATCAAATACTTTGGGAAAAAATCAAAAGAATGACAGTAGTATTGGTGTTATTGCCAAAATAATAAATAGAAATTACCATAAATAGGTGTACCATATACACATTTTCCCTAAACATGAGTACTGTGTTTTGTTACCCTAAATAGGATAAAGGTGGGAGATGGCAGTATCAATATGCCAATATGGTTTCAGGGTGACTCTTATTTAGGGGGGAAACATAATATATTTAGGGAAAATACCATGTTTTGCTCCTATTTCGGGAAATCTAGGATACAGAAACGAGATTAAAAAATTAGTAATTAGTGATGTATTCAATGTTACAAAAAAAGAAAGAAAGGGCCAAGAGAACCATTTAAAAAAGAGAGAATTCTCTAAATAGGATAAAAAAGTTTTGAAATTCCAAAATAGGACTATCATGTTTTTTATTCCTTGAATAGGAGTAAATTTCTGCCAAGTTTGGCATTACTAGGCTTTAAAACATGGCATTTTTTTCCAAACTTGGCAGATTACTCCTATTCAGAGAATAAAAAACATGATACTCCTATTTTGGAATTTAAAAATGTTTTTGCTCATATTTAGAGCAATTTCTATTTAAAAAATTGTGCAAAAAACTGGTTATCTTCTGTCTGCACACACTGATGCCATGGGAGCTTTTGTAAGTCCACCTCAACAGTGGTTGTTATAATATTACCTATTTCAAAGTTGATTATTCCACAATACCTGAAGTGTACAAATTTTTAGAAAACCTAACACTTCTTCCTATGAGGGTGGGGTACTTCAGAATAAATGTGATACTACATTTCAAAAGTTAATGTGACTAAAAATAGTCAACTACTCATCTATAGCCAATGACAAAAAAAACAGTAGCACAGAGCCAAAGTCTCAACAGTTTCTCACATCAATAAAAGAATATAAAGAAAATTAAAAAAACTACGTAATAATAAAAAAAGTAAACAACAACAAACGGGAACCAGATAGTAATGAATATGTCCAACAACTATTTGCATTTCATGAAGAATTTCACAGGTATGGTAAAAAAATGGTTGCCTGGTTGGGTATGTTACTATGTACTACCTCCGTCCCATAAAATTCTTCCCACTTTGACTTGGCACGGAGATTAAGAAAGTGGAAATGTAAGGTTGTGGTTGTGTAAGAAAAAGGTGAAATGAATGTGAACCACACAAATTGTCCAAAAATGGTAAGTGGGAAGAATTTTTTGGGACGGCCCAAAAGGAAAGTGGGAAGAATTTTATGGGACGGAGGGAGTATATGTTGTACAACACATGACCATGAAGGAAACAAACGTAAAGGTAACCACAAACTACCATGGTAATCTAAAACCCTGAGCCAAACAAGGCAACCTCATATTACCTTTCGCACCTTAACAAGATAATATCAGATTACTTGAGCCAAATGTCCCCTTAATGAATGCACACATGATTCTTACTACCATACTATGTATATACTGTGTGAGAGAAAGAGGGAGAGAGCTCACGTATAAATAGCAACGAATATCTCTGGCAACATGCCTACCAGAGAACCCAACAAATAAGGAACATACTTGACTCCAGTAGCAGTTGCACAGTAATTATAAACTATGTAAGGAAATGGAGATATTCTGATCAAAGCTACAGCTCGAAATTGACTAAAACAATCCCCTTCTCCTGCTAGTTTGATCATTGAAGCATTCTTCGGGTACCTTTCTATAAACCCCTGTCAAGATGCAATGAAAGAAAGAAACAAACAAACAGTCACCTCTGCAATTAAATTCAAAAAAACCAATCCATTGAATGGAGAACATAGATGCCATTACTTGGATTCTGTGGCGGAAAATGTAGCCAATGAAATATGGAAGCGATACTCCAATAGCTGCACCTCCTATAATTAGCAGAAATCCATACCCATATCCAAAAGTCATCCCTGCTGCCCACATGGAGGGTGTAGATGGCAAAAGCAAGGATGGAAAAAGTGCTACTGAAGAAAATACTAGAACTGCAAGCACTGGTGTGCTGAACGTTTTCATCTCCCAATTTATTATGGGGATGATTTCCTATAATCAGTCAAATTGCATTAGCAAGAGCATTGACATCAGAAACGTTCATTCACTTTGATTACAGCTTAATCTGACATTTATCTAATTTCCAAGTTTCAGAAATCAAGGCATATATGAAATTAGTGTGAATCTGATTCAACCTGTCTGATGAAAAAATCCTGATTCACATTATTCACAAAGATGGTCGAATTCGAGTTTCAAAAGAACTGATCTTCATGGGTTCAAATGATTTAATACCATTTCAGAAACTTTGACGTGCTTCTCATGAAATGCATAGTGAAATGTTTAAAAATCTACATGTATAAGTGGGCGTTTCCATTCCATTCCCAATTAAAAGGACAGGTTGAAATTTCACAAAGAAGAGAAAACTTCAAGCAGGATACTGATAATCTTTTGCTGTGGATTTAATTTAAATATAAAAAAGGAAAGCGGACCTTGTCCATGAAGAAGGGTCCGACCCATATGAGGAAAACGGCAGCCAGAACCCCAACAAAGATAAGCAAGAGGAGCAGCTTGGCCCACCACCACAAAGACCACCACCACCGCCCACGGACCTCACAGTCCACCTCCACCGCATCCGAAGACGAAGACGTAGGCGCACCCCCGCCGATGGAATCCCCGCAACTCTCCTCCAATTCATCGTCCCTCAATTTCATATAATAGACCCCATTACGGTCCTCCCCCGGCCCCTTCACAGCCACCGCCTCATTTCCGGCAGCAAAAGTCATCATCGCCGACCAGCAGCCCGGCGATTCACGTCAGGGAGAGCGAAATTGCGACAAAAACGTAATCTTTACAGGCATTGGCGACGGGTATATTCCCTCGGCATCTCTGTTCTCTAGTCTAGTATATATGATCTGATATCGATTAGGTGTATACAATTTCGTACACGCCTTCTAAGCATGATGCATTTTGTTGCTTGAATCAATGTCGGATGAGAGATCTGTCATCAAAATTGAGAGATGGAGGTAGAGGGGAGGATTTAATTAATACTCCGTATTTAGTACAAACTCCTGATTAATTTTTATTTTAGAAAACTATTGTAAAAATCCATAATCCGCTCCGTAGTCCGTACGAATTATAAAAATAAGAAAGTGCTGGGTGAATGCAATGGGGCAGTTGGCAATGCGTATATTTGTACAAGCACAAGTGTACAGGCGCATACGTGCAAGTGATATATTCAGCATAATTAAGAATGAAATATGAGTATATATGAGTATATATGACTAATATACAGAGTATTGGTATAACTGTCTCTCTGTATTGGTAATATATAGAAATACAGAGTGATGGATAGTCAGGGCCGGCCCTGGTGGTGTGCAGGGTGTCCAACTGCACAGGGCCCAAAAAATTGGAAGGGCCCAATTTTTTTTTGTAGTAGTATACTACTACCCCCGTCCCGCTATGATTGTCCCATTTTACCTTATCGGTCTGTCCCATTAAGATTGTCTCATACCAAATTTGGTAAAGTTTGTGTGGCTCTAAATCATTCTTACTTTATCAATTCAATATCAACCACATAAACCACTTTTTATTAATTTGCGTGTCACTCCCTCTTGTCCCAATGTTAGCGGGACGGAGGGAGTATTATTACTTAGGTGGACTAGGGCAAGGCTTTGAAGCAAGCCTGGTTCGTCACTTCGTGTATTCCTCATCTGCAAAGGAGGAGCGTGTATATAGGAAAGAAGGAGTAGTAAATCCTTCGTTTCCACCGGTGTGAGAATCTTAAGCTTTAGAAAAAAAAAGAAGCAAGGCATGCGGGATTTGAACCCAGGTGAAAATAAAAGCATGCACGCTAATTTCTAAACATCAACCACCGGGCCAAATCAACTAATTGTTGAAATACAGACGTACAAGTTTTATATTACCTATTTATTCTACAAAATAAATAATTAAAATACCTCTTAATAAAAATCGGTTCGGTTCGGTTTGAACCGATTTTATAACTCAAAAAACCTTCATTAAACTGATTTATGTTCGAGTCCCGATTTTCAGGTACCGTTTGAGTCGGTGCGGTTTCGGTTAAGTTTTTTTAACTTGTGTTGAAACTTTGAAAAGAAGGCCCAATTATTATTTTTGCACCGGGCCTTCATTTCCTCAGGACCGGCCCTGTGGATAGTGTATCCGGGATAGCTTATCCGAAGGGTTATTACGGGGAATAACTTAGAGAGAAGTCAGAGCAATAAGTAAGACAGAGAGTATGTATTCAATGTCTGAATTGTGTGTTACAATGGAAAAATGGACCGCTATTTATAGTATCAATAAATGCTAGATCAATAATCGGGAGGACACGTGTCAAGAATCTGACGGCCGAGGGTCACCTCAATCGGGGTGGCACCGCCATTCGCATGTGCACCGCATTAAATGCGGTGGGTGGATGTGACGGTGTACCCGGTACGGTGATTCAGCGCATGTGGAGAGGAGATTCTGTCGAGGAGGTTGCATTCGGCTTTGCATGTTGGACCGAAGGCTCTTTGTACCGGGGGCATCCGTGTGCCGAGGGCTATAGGTGCCGAAGGCTTGGTTTTCAAACCTTGTTCTCCTGTGATGTTCCTGGACTTGATTCGATGAATGTTAGCCTTCAGACATGATGCCGAAGGCATCCCCTTGCGTATTACGGGCTGCATGGAGTCTGGGTTTGTTGGGCTTGGCCCATCTGGGCCTGTTAGGCCTGATTGTTGTAGTGGAAGTATGTGGGTCGGGGATCCTTGGGCCATATACTCCATCAGGAGTCCCTCACTCCTTTTGCCGAAAGGTACTTGAGGGAAAAAGAGTAATTTGCGTTTGTCCTATGGTACTGTGTTTGCTTCGTTGTAGTTTGTAAAGTTGTGAGAGGTTTGTGTTGCGTAATTTGCCGAGGGCAGTCCCTCAGTCCCCCACATTTTGGGACTGAAGGATGATGTTGATGCCTTTGGGAAAACTTTTACATTTTTTTGATTTTCCCGAAGGGGTTCCCTAGTCCCCCACTCCTTGAGGCACATGTAATGGGGTGAAAAGGAGTAGAGTCATGCCTTCTTCATCAGAGAGCTGAGGGCTGACACTTTTTGCTTCATTTTTGGGGAGATACCTCGTTAAAAACCTCATTAGGGAAAACCTTGTGGGAAAAAATCCTAATGAGGGAAAAAGAGTGCACCGTATGCCCCGAAATGAAGCAAGAGGGGTTGACCCTTCGGCCTGTGATGAAGGATAATGCTGAGGTCGGGGGCATTCGTGATCTGCGGTAAGTAACCATTGCTGAAGGACGTAGGTGATTATTCCGGTGCTGTCGGGGGCTGAGAGCTAACCGTTGATGGAGGCGTTTGCATGTGAAAGCCCGAGGGCCTGCTTGTTTCTGAAGGGTAACAGCTGCGGGCACCTTTGTGTTATAAAAAAAATAGCCGTTGGGATATGACCGTTGCAATGTGACCGTTGGAGGTGTTGTCCACGTGGCGTATCCTGGTGGGCTGGCTTCGGGCGGGCGTCACCGGTTGGCTGAGGCAGCGGTTTGTAATGATGTCTTTTTAACTGGGGGCCCAGTTCTCGGCCCAAGCCCGAAATGGGGAGGCTATAAATACCCCTACCCTGAGACCATACCCCTTGTGCGATTTTGTTGTAGCAAAGCTCTCGCAAAAAATTTCTAGAGAGAGAAAGTACTCAGGTCGATCAAAACCCTCAATTCCAAGGTCAGTTCTTCCTCCATTCTTGATACTTCTCGCATACTTTGCTCCGCAAGCTGTAGGTGTAGTGTTAGTGGCCTTAGGACCCTTCTCCCTTTCCTAATTCCTTTCTTCAATACTTCCGAAGGATGTCGTCTGCGACTGATTCCCAAAACATCTCGGGAGAGCCCTCTGTTCAATCCGAAACCTGGTCGGATGGGAGGTCAGTAAGTGGGGAGGCCTCGTCCCAGAACGATTCCGTCGTAGCACAGGAGGTGGAGAAGGACCTCGTGGCCGAAGCGGAGGCCGAAGAGTTTGAGCAAGTTGTTGAGGATGAGGAGCTTGCCCTCGCTATGCAAACTGCTGAGGAGGAGGAGGAGAAAGAGCGCCATCGGGTTACCATCGCCATCCCTTCAGCTGTAGCCAGCCAAGCAGGAACCTCAAGACCCCTCAGCCCTGACCCCCTTCGGGATACACCGTTGATGAAGGGCAAGAAAAAGATGAAGGCCCCCAGAAGAAGAAGCAAAAAGTAGCGAACTCTGGGAAGCCAGTGGGGATACTCGAAGGACATTCCTTCTTGAACACTGCTGCCCTTGCACTTAAGTCGAGGGCTGATAGGGCGGACTGTTACGTCACACAGCTCCGTGTTGGGTCTTCAGCGACGGTGGTGGAGCCGGGTCTTGATGACGTGCTCTCCCAAGCTCCTGACGGGTGCTTCGCCGTACATGTTTTATCCGTAGCGCTTGGCCTCCGGTTTCCATTGCACCCCTTCCTCCTTGAGTACCTAAGGTACGTTGGCTTAGCCCCCTGCCAACTGACCCCTCACAGCCACCCATACATTGCTGGTTTTCGGAACCTCTGCCGGTCTCGGGGGGTGATTCCTAGCCTTGATCTATTCTTTCAGAGCTTCAACCTCTGTCGGGGGGGGGGGGGGGGGGGGGGGTCATGCCAATGTTGAAGGCTTCACGAACCTGCAGCAGGTCACCCAGTGGAGGCTATTTTCTGATGCGTCCTCGTCTCACAAGGGCTGGAAGGACCGATTCTGCTACATCAGGATGGCGGTGAACCCATTTCCCGGGGTTGCGGAACTATTTTAGACGTCATCTGAAGGTGGGGAGCGCCGCCCTCTAGAAGGATGGAAAGAAACTTTCTACTCTTCCGGAGGGGTCCACGAAGCATGTGGCAATCAAGGACTCGCCCCTCCCGGAGGACCTGTACAACTTAGGCTTCCGTCGCTACCATTTCCTTGGGGAAGGGGACGAAAAGTACCCCCTCATTGATCGCGCATTTGAGAGCACAGGAGGTGGTTTCCGAAGGATCTAAATTTTGTACTTAGAACATTTTTGTAGTTTGACTCTTCTTGTTGTCTTGACCCTTCGTCCTTACTGATTTGTGTTGTCTTTGCAGGTGCCAATATGGATGTGAGAAACTTTGTTGGCTTCAAGAAAAAATTGGCCAAGGAGCCAAAGAAGAAGGAGACGGGCACCCAGAAGCCCGTTGATGAGTTCTTTACGAAGGATGGTGAACCCTCCTTGGCCATTCCTGCTGGTGCTGAGGCCGAAGGCTCCCAAGCTGCTGCCACTGCTGCGAAGAGGAAAGCGGCAGGAAAAGGTGTCGCGCCCGTCAGCAAGAAGTCAAAAAAGGGGACGTCGGGAGGAAGGATCCCCCGGTCCTGATTGTGGATGAGCATTCCTCGTCCAACCCCCCGGTTGTGGCCGCGACGACCCCCTCCAAGTCCCCTTCGGCTGATGTGGGCTTCCCTCGGAAGAATGTGCAATTCTCCCTCGTAAAGGGAACCACCATCATGCATGGCACAGTGGACCCCGGGGAGTTCCTGAAGAGTGTCACCCCTGAGCTGGATATGGCATTCCTGAGCCATCTAGACGATGAAGCCCTCGACTCCAAGATTCTCCGTTCTTCTCTTACGGTAAGATCCCTCGTCTGTTCTTTTCATTTCCTTAGTCTTTTTGGCCTTAGCGTATCTTGCTCAGTAGTCCAACCCATTTTCTTGTTGCTTACAGGCTTGCATTGCCCTCAGCGAGCAGGCCCGGAGGGTGGAAATGTTGCGCCTTCAGAAGGCGCAACAGGACTAGACTTTGAAGAAGCTCGTCCACGACAATGCTGCCGCCGTTCGGGAGATGGCAAGGCTGGAGGAGACCCTTCGGAAAGAAAGGGTTAAAGCGGAAAAGGCCAAAGTAGAGGCCAGAGCCGAGGGCATGGCCGAGGTTGAGAAGTCTGCTGCTGAGGCTGCCAAAAAGGCTGCCGAGGATGCCGAGGCCGCCAAGGAAGGGGCTGTCGCCAAGGCCCGGGAAGACGATGTTGCTGCCTTCACTGCTGAGGGGTGGAAGTCTGAGGACCGAAAGCAGTGGCTGGCCTCAGTTGTAGAAGCCTCTGTTGACGAGTGGACTACCGGCCCCGACGCAGAATGGTTAGCCCGGAAGGGCAATGACTATTATGACGGGGGCAAGTTCTTTACTCAAGCCCTCATCTATAGGAGGCTTGCCCGACACTATGGGGTGGACCCGAAGGATTTTGATCCTGCAGCTTACGGCCTTCCTCCCCTTCAGCCGGATGTGCGAACCCCCCTCCCTCCTGATGTTGAGAGGTCGGACCTAGAGGATTCATTGTTGATGCAAGAAGGTTAGGATGCCGAGGAAGAGGCCGGGGAGGTCGCTGCTTCGAAGCCCGCTGAGGAGGGTGCCGCTGAAGTAGATAACCTTTGATTTGTACTTGTATTTTTTGAACAATGTTTAGTATAATAACATTTTGTAGCTTTCGGCTTCGGCCAAGATATAACAAACTCCTTTGTTTATTTTTGTGAATGAATGCATGGATGCCTTCGGGCTCTTGATGTTTGAATTTATCCTCAATGTTTTCTGAATGAATGCTTTCGCTTTCCTTTATGCTTTCTTCACAGCTTTATGAATGTATGTCTGTATCGGGAGTTAACCGAGGGCCAAACATTTAGGAATTAGAAAATTTTCTAAGTGAATGGTACCACTAGGCCCTCGGTTGACATCTTCCTTTAGCTGTATGAAATAGAGTGGCCTTCGTCGTCTACCCCCGGGGGGACTGGTGTTGTGAACTTAGTTATTTTTTGGGTAACGTCATGGACTTGCCCTCGGTTTATACCCGATTTTAGGCAATTCCCCCTTTAGTAAAACATGGTGATGCCTTCGGGCAATGCAATCTTTGGGGAACAATCGAACTCAAGCCCTTGGTGCATAGGTTTCCCGATGTAATTGAACCCTTATGAGAATTTAAGGTGCCATGCCCTCAGGTCCCGCCTGTTGTGCCGGGGGCTTCTAAGTTATAGATTTAGAGACTTTTTCATCTGGTTTTCACATCAGTGACCTCCTGAGAAATGTGGGGTTTGTATGTCTCTGTCCTACTTGTAGAATAGGAGCCCCCGATGTTGATTGTAGTGTCGGAGGCTATTGGAGTGTGGACTTAGGAAATTTGAGCTTTTGTTTGTGAGCAGCCGCTTTCGGAAATGCCGGAGGATGCAGTAGACTTAGTCAAACCTAGTCCATTTGTAGCATAGGAGCCTTCGGTATTGTTGGATTCCAAAGTGTGGACATAGGATTTCTTCATTTGGTAAATGCCGAAGCTATACAGCAAGGACCTTCGGTGATACCTTCCAATATACTGGCTTAAGTGATTGCAGTCTGATACATAAGAGCCAGATGCCTTTGGTCCATGCTGAGATGGAGAATGATGTATAGCGCGAGCCTTCGGTGTTGGCTGATGCCGGAGGCTGCCAGAGTGTGGACTTAGCCAAATTTTGGTGATACTTGGTGAATAGTAGTTGGATTTGAAAGAAGCCTTCTGGTTAGCTGCTGAAGGCTGTCCCGTTGTAAAACTTGTACTCATTGATTGCTCGTTGGGTCTAATCCCCTTCACCCCATTTTTTTAGATAGTGAAGGGAAAACTTCAAGAAACTTGGTTTCTTGGTAAGGCTTGGCCTATGCGGGAGGCAATAGTATAAGTTGTTGGCTCCTCCCTCGGGATTAACCTTCCGGGTTCCGAGGGGTTCGAGGGTCGTTTTCTCGGCCCGAGACATAGTCTGTTGCCTGCCTCCCCTTGGGGGATGGCACGGAAAGCGCCTCAATTTTGAAAGTCGTTCCCTCAACCCGAGACATAGTCTGTTGCCTGCCATTCCCTTGGGGTAATGGTGCGGGAAGTGTTTCGTTTTGAAAGTCGAATCCTGGGCCCGGGACATAGTCCGTTGCCTGCCATTCCCTTGGGGTAATGGCGTGGAAAGCGTTTCGAGGAAGAGTTTTATTTGCATATTAGTTGCAAATGGCTGAGGGCACTTGGTGCCCCCGAGACCGATAGGTGGCGGCGCCTTCGGTATAGTTGCGTCCTCACGGGGAACGGCTTTATTTTCACACTTGGTGATATGTTTCGTATTCTGCCCCTGGTACTTGGTACCGAGGGGTCATCTCAATTTAAAAACACTTGGTGTTTTTCTTCCAATGTTGTAGTTGATCCGAATGTCTAACCTCGACACTTGGTGACTTCCCCCACGTAAAGGGATTGTGCCCACTTCTTCCTTTGGCTGGTGGAGTCTCCCCCGTGTTGCCGCCGGTGATCATGTGGATGTGTCGCTTCTTTTCTTGGCACTGGTTGTACCCTTCTTCTTCATCGAGGTTCCCGATCTCCCTCTTCTTACCCTTCGGGTCGTCGAGGGGGATGGTGTTCGGGTTGACCCATGCGATTGCTTTCATAGCGGGCCGTGATGAGGGGAACCTCTGACGAACTGGGACAAATGTCCCGCCTGTATCAGCCTTTCCATGGCCGCCTTCAGCTGATGGCAATCATCGGTCCTGTGCCCTTGATGGCGGTGAAAGCGGCAGTACGGTTCATTAGGGTTGATAGCGAATACCTTCGGGGGTGTGCAAGAGTCTCGCTCCATGAGGCCTCTCTCCTCGGTGAAGTCCAGGATGACGCTGATGGGTTGCGTTAGAGGTGTCCGAGGGTGTTCCAAAAGGACGGGCTGCGCACAGGGCTTTGGGTTGTTCTTGTATCCTCCCCCGGGCTTGGGTTGGCCATGCCAGGGGCGATCACCGGGGGGTGCCAGACCTCTGGATTGATGAAATGGAGATCTCGGCCCCCGGTGGTTCTTGTCATCTACCCTAGGACGCTGCTGCTTGGGGTTTTGGTGGCATTTTTCCACCCCCTCGGCCTCTGCGTATCGGTCTCTCCGATGGAGAGCCCTTATATAGTCGTGAGGGGGTTCAATGATGAGGCTCTTTGAAAAGTTCTCGATGCGGAGGACTATCTGTAGGAGAGCCAGAAGGGTCTCGTCGTCGGCACCGTCAACCTTATCTATCTCCAGCCTCCAGCGTTCCAAAAAGTCCTTAAGGGTTTCCTCCTTCCGTTGCCTCATCGTTAATAAGTGGGAGAAATGTTTCCTTGACCGGTGTCTTCCCGCAAATTGTGTCAAGAAACGTTGGGCAAGTTCTTGCCATGAGTCGATACTCCCTTCGGGCAATCGGTTGAACCATTCGTATGCTGGTCCTTCTAAGGTGGAAAGGAACCAACGACACAAATATTCATGTGTTGCCCCCACCATCATCATGATGTTCTGGTACCTCCTGTAGTGCTCCTAGGGGCCAGTCTTCCCTTCATAGGGCTTGATGGGCTGCCCTCGGTATTTTCCCGGAATCTGGGCCGCCAATACACTTGGGGTAAATGGCGTCCTTGTCCGGAGCTGGATGACGGGTTCTCCAGAGCCTTCAGCAATCTTCTTCTGCATCTCGTCCATTTTGGCCAGCATGACCTCATACTTAGGATCCGCATGGGAGGCGGAAGCGGTTGTGTGAACCTGGCGGGTGATGTGAGTTTTCTCGCACTTAAAATAGATCGTAGAATAGTGGTGTAAGTACGAGTATCGTCTCCACAGGGACGAACAAAAGGGAATCAAGAATTAATTAAATTCAGAGATTAAAAATAAATAAAATAAATGCGTTGTGTGAGATTTGGTTGGTTGAATTGAAATTAAACTAAAACGAATGAGCGATTAAAATAAAAGGTTGGGTTCTTCTTAATTAATGACGAAGGGAACGGGGTAATCAGATTTCTGGCAGATCAGGCTTAATTACATGAAATTAATTTAATTGAGCCCATCTAATCAATATTAAGTTCTTACCTCTCTCACGGCGTAGAGTACAATAATTTCGGGGACCAGGCTGATCTCTCATGCGACAGGATCCTAAATTATTGCCAAGACGAGTGAGCTTACGGCCCCTTAATCGCAACTAATCTCTTAACGAACGATTAAGTGTGTGTGAATGTGTCTTAGAATAAACTAGATATCTCTTAATTTATTCTACAAGCAATTGTAATTCTAGCGGCCAATCTAGGTTACAAGAGATATCAGTTAAATTATTCAAACACAAATTAAACGACATTCATGCAATTAAACCATCAAGAATCTAGCCATACATCATGCTTAACCCCTTCATCAATCCCAAATCCCTAATTAAAACTACTCCCGACTCATAATTAAAGAATCAACAGAATTGGGAAGAATAGAAATAATTTTCATTAATTAAAGAATAGGATCTTACAAAGAATCTCAAAGAATTGAAAAACAAGGCTGAAAAACTCTCAAAATTCGTCCTTAAGCTGCTCTCTAAGTTCCATCCCCCAAAACAGGGTTAGGGAGGTGTTATTTAAAGGAAACAAAGCAATTCGGGTTGGATTAGGACTGAAACGGGGCACGCACGGTGCCCACACACGCGTGCGTGGCGTCTGTGCGTCTGACAGACATGTGCGTAAAATCGTTGGACGCACACGTGTGTCCCTCCCCACGCACGTGTGCGTGGCTGCCAGTGAGTTTTCCGGCTTCTATGGTCCGAATTTGACAAAACTTCCTTCATGAAAGTTGTATAAAATGAAGTCCTCTATCCACCACAACTTTCTGAATTGGTTTTAAATAATCCAATCAAGAGATATGAATAAAATGGTGGAAGGTCTCATTCTGAGATCGTCTGACTTCATCGTCTGTTTTCACCTTCTTCCTCTCAGATTCTTGTAATGGTGTCTTCATATGCTTTATAGACCTTGAAGTTGAATTTTCATATGCAACTTGAACCATGTCCTTTGGATGCTTCTAAGAAGAAATATGATTGAACGATTGACATAAGGTCATTCTGAACGCCGTTTTCAAGCTCTATTTGTCATCTTTTGATCCCGTAGCCAATTCTAAAGCTCTTTTGTCATCAAATCTTCATTGTGAACCTCCCGGTGACCTCCAAAGCTCTCAATTCACGCTCGAATACTTCTCAAATCGTCCCGATTTCTTCTCAAGCGCCGGTGCTGGGCTCAAATTCTCCGATTTTGACTCCAAAAGACATAAAACTCGAACCAACGCCTGGTAACATAACTTGAGCTAAAATTGAGACTTGTAACACCTTAAATCTAGGAAAACCATCACAATTCGATCCCAACACGCATCAAATGCGTGTCTAAATATGGACTTATTAGCGGGCCTCCATTTTGTCAAGGCGGCGTTGAAGGGCCGCAATGATATCATCCCTGGGGTCCTTCGGCATTGGCACCGCCCCCAGAGATTGTACGCGGGCTGAGTGAGCCTGGTTGTCCCGAGGGGGACGCCTCTCGTCTGCCCTTGAGACGGATCCTCCGCTCTCTTGAGGTCTTTGGAATGCCTTACCACCGAGGCGGTCTTGGACCCCTCGGCGATCTTGCACCCCTCTGAGCCTCTCGAAGGTGGAGGTCCGGGGCCCATCTTTGTTCGCGCCGCGCTGGTCCCAGGATTGGACTTTCTGGGAGGCGGTATCCTGAGCAACGACTCCCTCGTTGTTTCCGGTTCTTGGAACCGGGCAAACGAAGGGGGGAAGTGGCAGGAGAGGGATGACGTTCTCCCCCAAGTGAGCCTGAGGTGGTACAAGGGAACTGAGGGCGCCTGGATTATGAGTAAGAGTGTGGATGAAGGCTGAAAAAGCTGACTACACATCAATAGTGAGGACCGGAGGGCTCACTTGGTTTTCACTCCGGTCCTTCCTTCCAGTCTCGATGCCGAGGTGGAGCATTCTGCTGGAGCTGAAGGCGCAGGTCAACAACAGCCTGTTCCAACCCGGCGATGACTCGCCGAGGGACAAGTTGTTGTCCTCAAGGGTCTTGGACTGGGCACGGGTGGTTCTTCCCATCTTTTTGTGTTTGGCGAAGGGGAGGGTTTCTTCCTTGATTGTTTGACCTCTCAACGAGAGCATAAAATGATGGATAGTGTACCCGGGGGTAGCTTATCCGAAGGGTTATTACGGGGAATAACTTAGAGAGAAGTCAGAGCAATAAGTAAGAGAGAGAGTATGTATTCAATGTCTGAATTGTGTGTTACAATCGAAAAATGGACCGTTGTTTATAGCAGCAATAAATGCTAGATCAATAATCAGGAGGAAACGTGTCAAGCATCTGACGGCCGAGGGTCACCTCAATCGAGGTGGCACCGGCATTCACATGTGCACCGCATTAAATGCGGTGGGTGGATGTGACGTTGTATCCGGTAGGAGATTCTGTCGAGGAGGTTACCTTCGGTTGTGCATGTTGGAACGAAGGCTCTTTATACCGGGAGCCTCCCTGTGCCGAGGGCTGTAGGTGCCGAAGGCTTGGTATTCAAGCCTTGTTCTCCTGTGATGTTCCTGGACTTGATTCCATGAATGTTAGCCTTCGGGCATGATGCCGAAGGCACCCCCTTGCGTATTACGGGCTGCCTGGAGTCTGGTTTTGCTGGGCTTGGCCCATCTGGGCCTGTTGGGTCTGATTGTTGTAGTGAAAGTATGTGGGCCGGGGGTCCCTGAGCCATATATTCCATCACGGAGTATTACATAAAAAATTACTAGTAATTACTAACAAAAAATCACTAAAAATAAGTACTCTTTGGCAATAGCGAGCGCTAAAATATGTGATTTCTCCTTAAATATAAGTAAAGTATAAAGTATGAATACATTTTTTACTATAGTTACTTTGCATAGTCACTATGTATTAGAGTTGAACAGAATCATGGCATTAATTAAACACATTTTCTAGGTGTTTTTTTTAAATTAGGTGACGGCCTGCACTAGTTGGTTGTTAGTTGAAACAGAAAGTCTCCTAAATAAAATCAAAATATAACAATTTTTCAAAATAAAAGTGGTGGACCAAGTTTAAGTTTACCCCGTAGCTCCTTCAATGACGGTGACATGGCAATGAGGCGGCGATGACACGAAAATAAGGTGAGAATGAAATATGTAGATGATTGATAATTATGGGTCTTTTTGGACGTAAGAGAATGGTCTCAATAACAATTAAGTGATATACTCTATGAATGCATTCGACAAGTTCCCGAAGAAAAATGAAATAGTCTAAATCTTTGAGTAGTGGTTGAGAGTTTTGAAATGGCATAGCTAATTATTATTCTGCATTAGTGACTCTATGTATAATCATAGGTTTCGTGACTGGACTGATCGTGTCTGTTGTAGTGAACATCTGCGAGTTTTTGAGATATCTATTTAAGCCTTTTTCATAAAAAATTGATTACTCCGCATTAACACGGAGTCCTAATCGATCACCCTTCCAATGAGAATGAACATCATCCCCTCTCTTCCATGCTTGTCATTTGGCATATCAATTTTTTCCTTCTTAAAATTGTTATACTACCTCCATCCTAGATAAATACTCCTTTCGTCCCATTTAAATCTTTACACTTTCCTTTTTGGGACGTCTCATTTAAATCTTTACACTTTTCTTTTTGGGACGTCCCATTTATTCCTTTACGCTTCCTTTCCTTTTTACGTAACTCCTTTTACATTAAATGTCCTAACTACTCATCACTATTCATCCACTTTTTACATTTGAGTGGATAACATTAATTCCCTCCACAAGTCAAAGGGCATGCAAGACAATTGTTCTTCTATTAATTGGGCACCTAAAACACCTTGCCAAAAACAAACGTCAAGATTCAACCGGGACGAAGGGAGTATATGTTTATGTCCACTATTCTTCGATCAACTTAAATTGTTCTTGATCGTTTACTTTATGCATCTAATTTTTATCAAATTCAAAGTTTTTTGAGGCTATAAAATTTTTAGTTTAATTTCAAAATATCACTCTCTTTTGAAGGGTGAACAAATTATTTTCACTAAAATCCACTAGAAAGAATAGATAAGGAATAGGTTTAAGACTAAACGGATAGTTATGGCCCATTGGCCAATATATAGTTGGTGAGGCTAGGAGAAAGAAATTAAACTAGAAGGTGCCTACAAAAAAACAAGTAATGACACTATTGCCAAGGCACACCTTCACCCATACTCCTTCATTATAATCATACGACTTATTAGAATCTCAGACCCGATCTGAACATATTAGATCCGGTTTAAACGTATCAGACCAGATCAGACTTTGAAAGTTATGAAATACACATGGATCATACATATACGAGACTAAATCAAACCAGATTAGACGAGACTTAAATAGCCCAAATATTGTTATTGAAATTATGGTAGACTGCAAGAATAGTTGCAACGATTAAGAAAAAATATTTTCAGTTTTTTACTTTAATAAAGTTGAAATTCGTATTTGCTCGACTGCTTCTGCTTCAGAAACATTGTAGTGTTTATTTCAATAATAAACTCAGCATGTTCAAGGGTTTGTCAAAATCTTTCAAAAACAAATGTTTTTTCATGTACATCATATTTCAATAGAAATAACATACTCTTTGTCATCAAAAATAAGAGTATGATCACCTAGTGGCAAAATTCTGCTCCCTTCCTCATTCACAATGCTAAGATGCTCACATGGGTTTACATTGATGCTTGTTGTAGTAGATTCGCCTACAGAAACATGAACTTTATCAAACCCAATCAATTGCTTCAATGGAGCACTTTTGTAAGATCTTGGTGCTCTAGAAAAAAGCATCACAACTTCACTTCCATCCATGTATCCATCATTCGTTATAGAAATGGGAACCGAGAATCCCATTGAATCACAATCTGACACTTCATCAGTAAGGACATAGTGAGGGACAATGTTATCTTCGCTGTTCAGATTTCTCCCTCTCCATTTCTTCTTCTCGGGCTCTGATAAGCTTATTTTGCTTGGAGCTGCTAAGAGCTGAAGAGAAAAATTTGTGTAGCTTAGTCCATACCCAAAGTCGTAAACTTTTTCTCCGGTGTAAAATCGATATGTTCTTCCCGGGTAACCACGAGAAGGATCAGCCCTCATGTTCATGTCAATCATTGGTATGCTGGTATATGATTCTGGGTACCATGTAACAGTCAGTTTTCCACCTGTTTATGTTGTTGGAAACAAGTCACATTGAGTTATAAGAGATTGATAAAGATACTTCTTCAGCTTTCTAATTTAGTACTTTAAAAAACATTTTTTTTTAAAATAGAAGCAATAACATACACTGTCTTATTCAGCTTTCTAATCTATATTACCTGGATTATACTCTCCGAAAATGATCTGAGTCAATGCTCTTCTACCTTCTTCTCCGGGGTATCCAATCCAAATTATACCACCAATTCTTGGATTTGGCTTGGCGAATGAGATATCTAGAGGACCGCCACCAGTAAGGACCAAAAGCAATGGATTTTTGGTGACATTAGCGACCATGTTAACCAAGTTCATTTGGAGTCCAGGCAATAGAAGAGTGCTTCTGTCAAGATATTCAGATTCCTGGGACAAGTCCAATCCAAGAACGAGGATGACATAATCAGCGGCCTTAGCAACATATGCAGCTTTCCCGAAACCAATAGTGTTGTTGCAAGCAACATTTAAGCATCCAGGCGCATAAGATACATTCTGTACGTATTCTACGAATCCCCCATAAAGGTTTCTTTTGTTGCAGGGATTTCCTGCATCCGAAGAGAGGACCTTCGTTACATCTACCCTGAACTTCCGAGAGCTACTTAATTCTTTTTCAATCATTTTATTGTAATTTGTTTTTGATTTTTTTTATTTAGCTCACATCTACACTGCACAAAAACAGACTTAGAGCGTGCTCGGGTCGGTTTTTTTTTAATAAATTTTCTACCCATTGATGTGGGCGGGTTCGATCCACAAAAACGGGCCTAGCCACATGTCAATTCCCGCCCGTAAGAACGGGCCGGTAAGTCCACCAGGCCGTCCGGCTCAAATAACTTTCAATTTTAAAAAAATATACAAAAATATTTTAATACTTTTGAAATAATATTACAACATTTTAAAAAAAATGATAATACGCTTATAATGTTCATAGGTTGGGCTAGTTGTTAAGAACTACGGAGTAAAAACGTAAATTTAAACATAGTAAACCATAAATATATAAAGATAAACTAGTAAATATAAATGGTGACAACTCCGGTACCTTTCTAAAAAATGGGGTACCGTACCTATCATTCATTTGATTGGATCACATCACTTTATCATTTTTAATTTAGATTTAAATAATTCAGCTGTTACATTCTCATTGATCCATGTGGACAAAGGTATGGAACCTTATGGGTACCATATAATCTACCAATATAAATATACACGTTTACATGCAAATAAATAAATAGAATTGTAGCTGGGCTGGCTTATAAGCCCGAATGGGCCTATACCCTAACTCAAACCCGCCCACATGCTATTGCGGGACAGGCTTAGACCAATGGGTAAATACATATGTCAAGCCTTCCCATTTGTGCGGACAGGCTGACTCGTTTTTGTGCAGGTCTACTCACATCGCTAAGCCTAGTATAATTATTTTTTAGTTTTTGTGCGGATTTATTATATGGTAATCCTTTAACTTATTCATTTATTATATGTTAAAATATGGTTTTAATCTCTGCAAATATAACACACTTTGCTTTAGACTTTTAGGTCTCTCTAAAATATTTTCTTTGTTTTTCATCTCTAAAATTTATGTTGGTTTTCTTTTGAGTCCATGACCAATAACAACCTCTATTTGACAACAAAACAACACGAATAATAAGTTTCCTCTAATTCTTTGTCATGTCATTCAAAAAGCATTTAATTTCATTTTTTAAAATGTTTTTAATACATATTTTAAAATTGAAAATAATTAATTTAATATTGTTTTAGCTCTCATATAAACCTCAAAAAAATTATAAAAATGATAAATTTAAATGTGTCTATTACAATTATGCAACCAACAATAAAAAAAATTATAGGTAGAGTTATTTCGGAGTTAGACCTAAAACAAAATGTGCTATATTTACTGAAACTAAAATCATATTTAAACTTTTTTGAGAGGCTTAAAGTAAAATGTGTCATATTTACAGAGACTAAAAGAATTCTAAGTAGAGTTGTTTGGGAATTAAAGATAGACTAAAGACATGAGCTTTTGGAGAGCGTACCTGAATAGTCACCACCAAGGTAGGTCGTATTGGCCGTAGGCCCAATAACAGCCAGAGAGAGCACACGAGACGGATCCCAAGGCAAGAAACCGTGCTCATTCTTGAGCAGGACAGTGCCTTGCCTTGCCGCTTCGAGTGCCAATTCGCTGTGCTCGGGACTACACACATCCTGTGGTCCTAAGTTCGAAAACCGCCTATTCCCGGCAGGTCCATCAAAAAGACCGAGCCGGAATAGAACCGTGTACAGGTTCACCAAAGCTCTGTCCAAATCACTGTCTGCCACTATCCCTTTCTCATATGCACTTTTCATATGGTCCCTCAGGAATGTTCTGCACCCGATATCCGTCCCTGTCAATCCACTTGTATTTAATTCATTTCTATTAGAATTAATTAATTAATCAATTAATTAATTATTTAGATATGGTCTTCTTTGGAGCCATTTATGGTATGTATGATACCGAGACCCTCTGCTCCGTCGCAGAGTGCCTTGCGGGCCGGCCGGGGTGGCCAGATGGGAGAAGATGCACACCTTGATATCTTCAACGGTAAAAGTTTTGATCGGGCGATCCCAAAAGCCGGACACGTGCCTCACTCTAAAGCAAGGCAAAGGTTCCCGACCCCTATGATACAATTAGCTCAAAAGATATTTGGAGGTTAGTTTTTTTAGTACTATCACCTTAGTCCCATTCAATCTCACAAACTTTATATTGGTATGAAATTAGAAAAGTAAAATAATGTGGTTGAAATTTGTATAGAGGAGACATAAATGAATAGAGCCACATAGGGGCGGAGCCAGGGTACTGGGGGCTAAACTGGGTCGGTACAAAGAATTTTATTGGAAAAAAAATTACACGAAATTTTTTACAATAAAAATATTGACATTTTTTAAATTTGGAGTGGGTCATGACCTAGCCTGGGCACCCCCTAGCTCCGCCCATGGAGCCACAAATTCATTTAGCAAAAAAGGAAAAGAAAATTATTTTGTGACAAATAAAAAAGGAAATTTAATAAAATTAGCGGAACGTAATTCAAAAAGAGAACATATAGTACAGTAGTTGTTTTGATAAATTAGAACTAATTATTTATTTCGATTTTATTTGGTATATTATGGTGACTAATTATTTATTGCAACTTCTTTAAAAAATTACTAAAATTTTATGCACTAAACATACGATTAAAAACTTTCAAACACTTTTTATACAGAAGACATGGACTTATACTCCAAAAGAACAACATAACAAAATGTTATTATCTGTAGCACAGAAGGACATAGTAAAAGACCTGCTTTAAGTGCAATTGCAGAAGCTTCTTCTGGAGTTCTCGTGTAATGCAAATAATTAAATATATTGCTGATAGCATCGCAATCTGAGGCCACGTATCTACAAATATAAACAAACGTGAAATTGAATCCCACCTTTGGCCAATTTTAAAATTTTATTTCTGGGTTTTCAATATTTTTTGCGTTTCGGGGATCGGTTAAACAACGCAGTATAATTCAGAAAATCATTTGACTGCCTTTCCGGTTGAATTTTTAGCTGAAATTTGATATGGGTAAACTAGACTTAATGAAGAAGATGCTCAAAAAATTTCATCAAAAAGTTCCACCGGGAACCGCCCCAATTGGCGACGGCTAAGCAGAACCTCCTATATAAGAGACTAATTGAACACTTTAAATTAGTTCATGTACCTATTTGATCCTTTAGCCCTAAATAATCATACATGATAGAGACAATAATCATGAATTAACTTTCCAATTGGTTCCATACACTCTGGAATCCCTGGATCAAAAGTGGAATTGATGGGTCATTAAATTACCCTTTGAATGCATTCCATTAAAAAAAAGAATTACCCTTTGAATCCCCAATCTGATCGAGCCCTGTCCAGGAGATATCTGTTTGCACAAGCGGGTATCCCATTAACTTCATTATAAGAACACATAATGCACGTTGCCTCGCCATCCCTTATACAGCTTTTAAAAGGAGGCTGATACGTGTCCTCCATATCTTGTCTTGTTACCTTATCATATACCAACACAATTAGCTAGGATATATTTCCAGTTCGGTTCTTGCTGTTTGGCTATAATATTTGCATTGATTACACCTTTAATAATCTTAGGACGTTTTTACTTAGAACGGTTTTTCAATTCCAGACCAGACCAGATTAGACTTACAGAAATCAAACCAGACCAGACTTAAACAAACCAGACCAGACTTAAACTGACCAGACCAGACTTGACTTCCGTAGTTATAAAATACACATAGACCATACATTTACCAGACCAGACCAGTTCAGATCAGACCGGATTTAAACAGACCAGACTTAAACAGTCCAGATCAGATCAGACCAGTAAATTATACTCCCTTCATCCCGCTAGAAGATTCCCGTGAACGGTTTACGATGCTTGATTGACGATAAAGCAACTTAATTAATCCCTGTTCACACTCTGATTATTTTTAGTAAATAAAATTAACATATTCAGAAACTACATTAAAACCGTTGCAAAGCCTGATAAAAAAATTGTAAATTTGTTAAAAATTTGATTTATAAAGTAAAAGATTAAAAATGATTTAAGTTGACCATGAGAATAGTGGACATGAACCTTCTAATGGAACGGAGGGAGTAATCCAAATCAAAACATCCTTAGTTATCTGATTAAAAGATTGGGGTGCATATTGTTATTAGACCAATACTTTATAATGTCTATGTCTATTAGAGGAAAATATGTAGTAAAAAGGGGAAGACCATAAATTGGAGCAATAATGTTGACTAAAGTTAAGGGGTGTACAATTTTAATTTCTACCTACCTAGCAACTTACATAATCATATAGATAAGCCCGAATGCTCGTGATATACTAATCTAGAATTAGTTATTCATCGTTAAATTTAAGAGGTTTTAATTATTGGTAAGGATACCTATAACGTTCCCTACTCTTAATCTCTGGGATTTTAGATTTTTAACCACCCTCCTATTGAGCAAAGATGTATACACGTCACACTCCTTAAGATTTCAATAACACTTTAATTGGTTCATTTAAATACGGGAGTAACATGAAGTTAATATTTTTTCACAATTAAATCAATGTGAGAATTCAATTATGTCATTTTATTGGAAGTGACACATCCATTTCCCATAAAATTAAAACATATATCCCCCTACTTGAAAAAGTTCACCAAATTAACTTTTCTTGATCAATAACATTCTACTTTGACAAATGATATTTTTCACTACGAAAATATTTGGAATATGAAATTATGTCGAAATGTTCCTTATTCAAATTATTTTCTTAAAAGTATAAAATTTATAAATTATATACAAATATAATAATTAGAATCACTGTCTAAAATTTGTCATCATTGACAAGGAAAAGTCAATATAGTGAACTTTTTTGGAAGGAGGTATCAAATTTCTACTCTATATTATTTAGAATTTTAATTTGTATAAATTGTTTGATGTTATGTTCATAGGAAATTGATCTTCTACCGCAAGGTAGAGTGCCTCATGCAGTTCCAATAGGAAACAAGGATGAGAAGAAAGTTGAGGACTCCATATCATAGTAGCTATGGTCAAATTCAATTGGGAAAAATACCCTCACATTACTAAAATTCACCGCTTTTCCTAAAAAATGACTAAAGACGTTTTTTAATGTGGAGTATGACCAAATTATGTGCCACAAAAATAGGAGCAATCAATAATGGTTGTCCCTAAAAAATAGGAACTTAGTACATAGTATTAATCATATGAATGGTAACACGCATCATTATAGGAAAAAACATAGTTGGTCGAAAACACATGAGTTATAGTGATATCGGTGATAGTTTTCTCAATTTAGTAATGTTTTTAATTGAATGAATTTTGTTACTCTCGTTTGATCTGGTCTGATATGATTTGGTATGATAAATGTCTAGTCTCTATATATTTTTAACTATCCAAGTCTTGTTTGGTACAACATGGTTTGGGTGTAAAAACAAACCCAAGTACTACGCACTACATCCGTTTTCTTTTAATTGTAACATTGAACTTTTTGCACTATTCACATATTCTACTTTGACTATACTTTACGGAGTATTAATTAATGTATTACTCCCTCCGTCCCGGTCATTTCTTCCAACTTTTCTTTTTGGGCCGTCCCAATTAATTCTTCCAACTTCCACTTTTGGAAAAAATATATGGTTCACGTTCATTCACATTTTCTTACACAACTACAATCATACATTTTCACTTTATTCTCACTACCTAAATTTGCGATACCGATCAAAACCGGAAGAAATGACCGAAACGGAGGGAGTATAAATTAATTTTTTGAAAGATATTGTTAAAACTTGTGCTATTGAAAAGTTAAGTGTCCAATTAAAAGGAAGGAGAATATAAAACAATAATGGATAAATTACGTACCACCGCATTAAAGTTAAACCTATCAATGTCTTGCCAATGCTCCAAGTCATAAGCAGCTAAATGCTTGCAACACGCCGACAACATCAACCTGTCATTCCCATCTTCCTCCTTCAAATCTCCCCCACCATTTCCACGCATCAGATCCTTCCCCTGTAACCCCCTCACGTACTCCATACCATACACAGAAGCCACATAAGGGTCCTCTCCGGGCGTCTCTTGCCCTCTTCCCCATCTCGGATCCCTGTACACGTTTATGGTCGGAGCCCAGAAAGTCAACCCAGCTTGACCCACATTATGCAAAGCCCTCGCCTGCACAGCCACGGCGGCCGCCACCGCTCGCCACAGCGTGCGGTTGAAGGACGAGACCGTGACGATGACATTCGGGAATATCGTGGCGCCCTTGATGACTCCGTCGAGGTTCGCTCCCGGCCCGTTGAGGCCGATCCCGTGGAGGGACTCCCCCCACCACTGGTAGGCGGGGATGCCTAGCCGTGGCACGGCGGAGCTGTTGTCGCAAAGAAGCGGGATTTTCTCGTCGACGGTGAGGAGGGAGATGAAAGACTGGACTCTGGTGGCGATGGGGAGGGAGGTGTTGCAGAATGGGTGGGAGTTATGGTACGGAGGCGTGCATGGTAGTTGGAGCTGAGAGTATGAAGAAACTACTGAAGTTAGGAAGATGACAAAGATGAATATAGGATTAATGCTTCTGAATGACATTGTGAAGATTAATCAAAAAAATATCAATAAACTTTTAGAGTTGGACGAGTACATGTATATGTACTGAACAATAATAACAATAGAAATAAAAAATTAAATGGATACGTAGGATGTACCCAACAACAAAAGCTCAGATATGATGAAGAGTATATGGACAAATAAAAAAACATTGTCTTTACTGTTAATTTTAGATGTATTTATTGACAAATTTAATTTATATATATGAGTGGGATATGTTCTCATGGGAATGAAATAAAATGTGTTCTTAATAGGTGTTTTACCAAAATACGGGATTCATCAATATCTATTGCCAAAAAACGGGGAAAAACTAGGTTTTCCTAAAAAGCGGGAGTCGGAATTGGGTGTTCCGACCAGAGGAAGGGTTTAAAAAAAACACCTCTCCCTCCAATCGGATGTGTGACTTCCGACCAGGATTTTTGTTTTGTTTTTTTAACTCCTTGTTAATTCCTTATTGTTAAAGCTTTGATTTTAATAATTTTTTAAAAGTATTGTTAATTCCTTATTCTAAATTCCGAATTAAAAGTTGTTTTAAATTCTTGGCATATTTTTTAAAATGAAAATTATGAATTTTAGTTTTTAAATTTTTTTGATTGCTTAATATTATTTTTTGATATTAATCCGGAAATAGTAAATCCCAACTTAAATCCGATATAGGGATTTTTAAACAAAATAAAAAATTGGTTTTACTCCTGTCGGAAGTCCCAATTCCGACGAGAGGATTTTTTTAGAAGTTTTATATATTGCGAATGAATTACAACGAAAAAAAATCAATAAATAATAAAAAAAAATCATGTCGGAATTGGTAAATCCGACAAGGGGATATTAGAAATTAATAATTAATAATTTGAGTTAAATTTGAGTTTAATTAATCGAAAATGTTAAATTAATAATTTTAAAATTCCATCTATATGTTAAGTAAATCATTGTCAATTTTACAACTCGTGTTCATGATATAGGCTGATTACATTTCAAATGATTGTATCCCTACTGGGTCGAATAGGGGTTTTTATGATCCAAGGCTAAAAAATATGAATCACAAGTGTGCATATTAAAATTTCATCTATATATTAAGTAAATCGTGGTCAATTTCACAATTCGTGTTCATGATATATGCTAATTGCATTTCAGAAGATTGTATCCTTACCAGGTCGAATTGGGGTTTTTATGATCCGGGTCTAAAAAATGTGAATCATAAGTGTTAAATTTTATTTGATTATATTTTTTATCTAATAAAATTTTATCTGATTATATTTTTTCTGATTAAATTTTATTTGATTATATTTATCTGATCAAAATCTTAAGCCATAAAAAATGAATTGAATTGGTAGGTGGAAGTTAGATTTAGGTGATTAAACTTTGTCAAACTTTACACTTTGAGCAGTCCCGTATTAAACTTTACACTTCCTTATTTGCTTTATTTGGCAAACAAATCTACACCAAACAGTGTCAAACAGTGTACTGTACAGTAAAGTCAAATTTATTTCCTTAATATATGTGAAGTCAAAGTGTAAAGTTTAATAAGGACCGGAGGCGGTAACAAGTATGAATATTAAAATTCCATATATTTGTTCAGTAAATCATTGTCAATTTTATAACTCGTGTTCATGATATAGGCTGATAACATTTCAAATGATTGTATCCCTACTGGGTTGAATTACGGTTTTTATGATCCGGGTCTAAAAAATGTGAATCACAAGTGTTAATATTAAATTGTCATCTATATATTAAGGAACTCGTGGTCAATTTCACAACTCGTGTTCATGATATAGGCTTATTGCATAAAATTCGAATGATTGTGCCCTTATTGGGTCAAATTGGAGGTTTATGATCCAGGTCTAAAAATGTGAATCACAAGTATGGATATTAAAATTCCACTTATATGTTAAGTAAACCATTGTCAATTTTGCAATTCGTTTTCATGATATATGCTGATTACATTTCAAATGATTGTATCCTAAAAAATGTGAATCAGAAGTGTGAATATTAAAAATTCATCTATATATTAAGTAACTCGTGGTCAATTTCACAATTTGTGTTCATGATATATGCTAATTGCATTTCAGAACGAAGATTGTATCCTTATCAGGTCGAATTGGGATTTTTATGATCTGGGTCTAAAAAAAGTGAATCACAAGTGTTAATATTAAATTTTCATCTATATATTAAGGAACTCGTGGTAAATTTCACAACTCGTGTTAATGATATAGACTGATTGCATAAAATTCAAATGATTGTGTCCTAATTGGGTCAAATTGAAAGTTTTATGATCCGACACATAAAGTATTGGATTTTGGGTCACTTTATTTTTGTACAGATATGTTTGGACAGAATATATTGAATTTTGATTGAATTATATATGATAAAATTTTATCTGATTCATTTTATCTGATTGAACTTATCTGATTAAATTTTATCTGATTATCAGTTTTATCTAATAAATAATTCTAAAGTTATGGGTTACATAAAATAAAATTTATCTCGAATATAAATTTCTTAAAATAAAATTTAATTTATAAAATTTAATTTATTAAATTTCTTAAAATAAAACAAAATAGATTGCTTTTTTCGAAAATAAAATAGACTGCTAGTCGGATGTGGGCTTTCCGACAGTTTTGCTTTTGTTTTTTTATTTTTATATTTTTTATTTTTTGATTGCTTAGGATTACAATAATGGAAAAATTTGTATTTTTTTCATTTTATTTCAACCAAAATATATTGATTTTTTTAAATATACACTCAAGAGTTTGAATGGGACAATATTCCGTTTAATTTAGTAAAATGAGTGAACACAAATCAAAGCAAACAATAAAAAAATTTTGAACATCCCCTAGTCGGATTACACAATTCCGACTAGGTTTTTTTTGTTTTATTTAAATTGTTTTTTTTGTTTTTTTTAATTCCTTCGGATTAAACAAATAATGGAAATGTTAAAAAAATTCGAACACCCCTAGTCGGATTACACAATTCCGACTAGGTTTTATTTTTACTTTTTAAAGCTTTTCCTCCTGTCGGAATTGGAGAATCCGACTCCCGTAAAATGGTAACCTAAACCGAAGTCCCGTATTTTGGCTTGTCAGTCCCAAAACTCCCGTAAATTGGTAATTTTCTCTAATAATCTTTCTCATTAAAATGTGCGTACAAACATAACAATTTGTCAAGTTCCATTGCGCGATTACTTAATTACTACTACATTCAGTGTTTGGGCACAAGCCATTACACAAGAGTCACTAGAGTGGGATAAGTTGGGCGAATTGAATCCGGTGTATCTTGGGTTTCAATTCTGCGGCTAAGGTTTTAGTCACTCGAGTTTTAGTGATTCCGGCTAGGGTTATAGTCGACGTGGCTACAATTTAAGTAGTTGTACCGATAACATTCACAAAAAAGATTAATTGATTCTTTAAAAGTTGGAATTTCATCAATCTAGGACCTGAAAGATAGACGAATTATCAATTTGGGATCTGAAAGATGAAAGATTTCGACATAGGACTTGAATGATGGAAAACTATCAATTTAGGACTTGAATGGTTGAAAACTATCAATCGAAGACCCAAATTGTAATGATTTTTTTTTTATTTTAAAATTATTAAATATAATTTAGTTTTACTAAACTAAAAAAGATTTTTGATGAAAAATTAATAAAAAATTAGCAATGAAATGATAAGAAATAAAATAAATCAAAATTTATGAAATGTTAGGTCGATTGATAGTTTTCCATCATTTGGATCTTATATTAATACATTTCATCTTTCTGATCCCGAATTGATAATTAATCTATCTTTGAGATGTTGAATTGATAAAATTCCTTAAAAGTTATTTAACAACCTATCATCTAATTGTGATTAGTCACTTAATCAAACACCATTTTATAAAATACTAAAATACTATTTGCTAATCAACATAGTAAACAAAATATACTATCATCAAGCAAGCACATAACACAATCACCCATTGCCCAAACGCCTACATATACTTTTTTTATAGGACAATTTAGGGTGGACTATATGCGATGCGATGTATCGGCCTTTTAATCACTCATTAAACACGATACACATATTATTGAGGTTAACATTTTATATGAATTCCCATTGAATTAGCGGATGATACCTAGGATTTCTCTAGATTTCTTAGTTTTAGCTTTTGCGCTCCATTGCGGTAAAGGTGAGTGAAGAAGTTGTGTCCGTCGGCCTCATGGCACGATCGGGTATTCGACAGGGGTGTGTTCGTGGGCATTCTGATGACATAGGCTAGCTGTTTTTTTTTTGTTTGGCATGATGGCATCGATGGAAGAAAACCAAGGGCATGCAGAGGGAGATTGAAGTGTTGCTCATGCCTATGGTAGGATGGAGATGGAAGAATATGATGAAGTACTCTTAATTTGTTATGGATTCGGGAACAAAGATGTTTTTACTTGGATCGTAATTTGATGGTCTGGTCTGTTCTGTTTAAGTATGATCTGTTTTAAGCTGGTTTGGTCTGGTCTGGTAAATATCTGGTCTCTGTGCATTTTATAACTACGAAAGTCTGGTCTGATCTGATCTCATCTATTTATGTATGATCTAGTTTAGTATGGTGTCTGGTGTGTTAAAGTTTGGTCTAGTCCGAGACTTATAACAATCCAAGTGTGAATTTATGATTTGTAGGAACCATTTCATTAGAAAAATGGATACGCTTTTCTCTTTTTTCTGATACTATGGTGTGTGTGTGTGTGAAAACCTGTCAAATGCGTTACCATAACCGATATGGGGGTTAGACACCACATGTTTCAATTTTATCATGAGAGTGATATGACTAGAGATTTCGAGGACGGACCATATACCTATGTTCAAAATCTTATTGTCCTATGTAAGTTGGAGGAGAGGGGTTTACCTCTGAGTGATATGGGGGTTAGTCACCGGGAGGTTCACAATGAAGATTTGACGACAAAAGAACTCTAGGAGTGACTATAAAATCAAAAGAAGATGAATAAAGCTTGAAAGCGACGTTCAGGATGACCTTCTGTCAATCGCTCAAGCATATTTTTTTGTAGAAATATTCATAGAACACGGTTCAGGTTCCATATGGAATCTAACTTCAAGGGCTACAAATCATATGAAGACACCATTGCGAGAATCTGAGTGGAGAAAGGTGAAAACAGACGAAGAATTCAGATGATCGTTGTTGCGATTTCGAAGTGTGACCTTCCACTATTTTATTCATATCTTTTGATTGGATGATCCAAATCTTGTTTTCAAGTTGTTGTAGATAGAAGACTTCATTATCTACAACTATGATGAAGGAAGCTGACGAGCACTGATGGATAGTGTACCCGGGGGCATTGTGTGGCCGGAGGCATCATGTGGCCGAAGGCATTGTGTGGCCGGAGGCATTCTGTAAGCCGAAAGCATTATGTCGAGGGGAGTAGATTGCCGTTGTGATCTTGCCTCAGCTTGCTGTAGCTGAGAAATAGAAATTTTTTAACATTTGCGTGTTTTGCCGAGGGGAGTCCCCCAGTCCCCCACTCCTTTTGCCGAGAGTTTCTCGAGGGAAACAGGAGTAGAGTGATGCATGCCTTCAGCAGGAGCCGCCGAGGGGTGACGCCTTTTGTTCCACAATGGGGAGATGCCTCGTTAAAAACCTCATTAGGAAAAAACCCTGTGGGAAAAAAATCCTAATAAGGGAAAAAGAGTACACCGGATGCCCCCAGAATGAAGCAAAAGGAATGCACCCTTCGGCCTAGATTTTTGAGCGGTGGTTGTGTCCGTCTGCTGAGGGGATATCGAAGACCAGCCTCAGATCCTGCATGAAAAAGCTGAGGAGCTTGTAAGGACCCCCCGTTATCAAATAAAGGTGACGGAGGGGTGCAAGGCCAGGTGGGCCTGTGTGAGAGCCCCTGGCATCAAATACAGATGTCGGAGGGATGGAGACCGAGGGGCCTGTGTGATTGCCCCCGACATCAAATAAATATGCCGGAGGGGTGAAGGCCGATGGCCTGTATGATAGCCCCTGGCATCAAATAAAGATGTCGAAGGGATGAAAGCTAGGCTGAGGGGCATGTATGACAGCCCCTGGCATCAAATAAAGATGCCAGAGGGATGAAGGCCGAGGGACCTGTGTGATTGCCCTCGACATCAAATAAAGATGTCGGAGGGATGAAGGCCGATGGGCCTGTATGATAGCCCCCGACATCAAATAAAGATGCCGGAGGGATGAAGGCCGAGGGACCTGTGTGATTGCCCCGACATCAAATAAAGATGCCGGAGGGATGAAGGACGATGGGCCTGTATGATAGCCCCCAACATCAAATAAAGATGTCGGAGGGATGAAGGCCGAGGGCCGTTGTGATGTGGAATCATGCTGAGGCCGAGGGCCGTTGGTGATGTGAGATCACGCTAAGGCATAACCATTATGACATAGGGTCATGTTGAGGCCGAGGGCCGTTCTGATGCTGAGGTCGAGGGCCGTTGTTGATGTTGAGGCCGGGGGCCGTCTAATGTTGAGGCCGAGGGCCGTTGGTGATGTTGAGGCCGAGGGCCGTCCTTATGTTGAGGCCGAGGGCCGTTGTTGATTTTGAGACCGAGGGCTGTTCTGATGTTGAGGTCGAGGGCCATTGTGATGTCCTCATGCTGAGGCCAAGGGCCGTTGTTGATGTTAAGGCCGAGGGCCGTTGTTGATTTTGAGACCGAGGGCCGCTCTGATGTTGAGGCCGAGGGCCGTTGTGATGTGGAATCACGCTGAAGCCGAGGGCCATTGGTGATGTGAGATCATGCTAAGGCCAAAACCATTCTGACATAGGGTCATGTTGAGGCCGAGGGCCGTTCTGATGCTGAGGTCGAGGGCCGTTGTTGATGTTGAGGCCGGGGGCCGTCTGATGTTGAGGCCGAGGGCCGTTGGTGATGTTGAGGCCGAGGGCCGTCCTTATGTTGAGGCCGAGGGCCGTTGTTGATTTTGAGACCGAGGGCTGTTCTGATGTTGAGGCCGAGGGCCATTGTGATGTCCTCATGCTGAGGCCGAGGGCCGTTGTTGATGTTAAGGCCGAGGGCCGTTGTTGATTTTGAGACCGAGGGCCGCTCTGATGTTGAGGCCGAGAGCCGTTGTGATGTGGAATCACGCTGAAGCCGAGGGCCATTGGTGATGTGAGATCACGCTAAGGCCAAAACCGTTATGACATAGTGTCATGTTTAGGCTGAGGGCCGTCTGATGTTGAGGCCGAGGGCCATTGTGATGTCCTCACGCTGAGGCCAAGGGCCGTTGTTGATGTTAAGACCGAGGGCCGTTGTTGATTTTGAGACCGAGGGCCGTTCTGACGTTGAATCATGCCAAGGCCGAGGGACATTGGTGATGTAGAATCGAATTGAGGCCGAGGACCTTTCCTTGATAGTTCCGGGAGTCCTTCGGGTGTATGTTCCTTCTTTCAGGCATCGACCGAGGGGGTTGATTCCCCGCCTCGGCCGAAAGGGGGTCCAAGTGATTCGTCCGAGGGTTCGTCTGTTAGTCCCCCGGCGCTGGGCCGTCCCTTGATTGTTCCAGGAGGTCGTATGTTAGTCCTCCTGATGTGTGTTCCTTCTTTCAGGCTTCGGCCGAGGGGGTTGCTTCCCCGCCTCGGCCGGAAGGGGGTCCAAGTGATCCGTCCGAGGGTTCGTCTGTTAGTCCCCCGACGCTGAACCGTCCCTTGACCTTGGTGTTCCCGTCGGCTATTTACGGCGCGGGCTAGGCTTGGTCGGTTTCCGACGACTGCCGTTTCACCCCCCAAGTTTGGGGATTTCGTCACCTCAGCCATTCTTTCAGGCCTGTCGCCGTGCGTTGCGCGTCGGCGACGCGGCGAGCGTCCCGCTCCAAAAATGCGGGCCTTTTGCAGGCCCATCGTCTTTAGACACCATCGGCCATACCTGGGCATTTGGCCTCGAAGGGGCCGATAAGATGTCTGGATTGTGTTGTAGTTTACTTTAATTCATAGAAATAAGCGGAATACAAGGGGTGCGTTGTTTGACAACGGCTTTGTTAAGATTCACCGCTCAAGGCCGAGGGCTCTAGACCGAGGGGATGATAATGTGCCTCGAGGTCGAGGGACCATGGCTGAGACTAACGCCGAAGGCGAGGAACATGATTAGCGGAGGTGGCGCTTCTTCGGCTGGGGCTCCTCGTCGTCGCTGAGCCTCCCGATTTCATGTTTCTTCATTGCGATGTCCCCTTCTTCTTTATCGGTGTTCTCCCCGGTGTTTTTCCTTGGGGCATTTTTTATGAATTGGTGGAGCTCACCCCGTTGAATTAAGAGTTCAATAGCCTTCTTTAACGAGACATAATCATCTGTATTGTGGGAGGTGCTTTTGTGGTAACGGCAATAAGTGCCGCCTTGGTGGATGGCGTAGATCTCCCTCGCCGACCGAGGGTCCTTGGGGAAAAGGTCCTGCTCTTCCGCATAGTTGAGGATAGTGCTCACCGGGTGCGTGAGGGGAGTCCTCGGCATGTCCAGCCGAGGGCGCCACTGGCGTTCGTTACGGCCCTGCTGGGTGCGGCTTCCATGGTCTCGGCTTCCGGCCGAGGGCGCATTTGGGGCCGGCGTGTTGTTTGTCTTCTTCGAGGGCTGGCCCTCGTTCTTCTTGAAGGAGTGGAGGTCGTCGGCGTCGGCGTATAGGCTCCCCCGCTGGAGTGCTTTGAGGTATGATCTTGGGGGGTCTGTGATGAGGCTCTGTGCGTAGGGGCTGCTGCGGAGAACTCCCTGGAAGAGGACGAGGAGGGTACGCTCGTCGGCGCCCTCGACCTCGTCTGTCTCCTTCATCCACCGGTCAATGAAGGACCGAAGTGTTTCGTCAGGCTGTTGCTTGACGGAGAGGAGGTGGGAGAAGTGCTTTCTCGCACGCTTCCTTCCGGCAAAATGGGTGAGGAAGCATTGAGCAAGATCTTGCCAAGAGTCAATGCTGCCTTCGGGCAATCGGTTGAACCATTCGTATGCTGGTCCCTCCAAGGTGGAAAGGAACCAACGACATAAGTATTCATCTGGTGCCCCCATCATCATCATGCTGTTTTGATACCTGTTGTAGTGCTCCTGGGGGTCAGTTTTTCCTTCATAGGGCTTGATGAGTTGCCCTCGGTACTTTTCCGGGATTTGGGCCGCCAATACCCTTGGGGTAAATGGCGTCCTAGTTCGGAGTTGGATGACGGGTTCCCCGGAGCCTTCGGCAAATTTCCTTTGCACCTCCTCCATTTTGGCCAACATTGCCTCATACTTGAGGTCTGTATGAGGGGCAGAAGTGGTGGCGTGTGCTTTGGTGGCCTCCATCTCGTCGAGCCGGCGCTGGAGGGCCGCAATGATTTCGTCCCGGGGGTCCTTCGGGAGGGCCTCCGCCCCCTGCAAATGGACGCGGGCCGAGTGGGCCTGATTGATTTGATGGCGGGCGTCGTTGACATGGAGAGGTGTCTTGCCTTTGTCCTGAGGGGGACGCCTTTCATTGGCCTTGGAGACGGATCCGCCACTTTCCTGAGGCCTCTGGAACGCCTTCCCCCCGAGGCGGTCTTGGACCCCTCGGCGATCTTGCGCCCCTCCGAGTCTCTCGAGGGCGGAGGTCCGGAGTTGTTCTTTGTTTACGTTGTGGCGGTCCCGGGATTGGACTTCCTGGGAGGCCGTATCTTGGGCCACGACCCCCTCGGAGTTCCCAATCCGGAGGACCGGGTTCCCGAGGGG